TCCTCCTCTCTCTCTCTCTCTCTCTCTCTCTCTCTCTCTCTCTCTCTCTCTCTCTGCCTATACTACCCTCTTAGCTCCCCTCCCCATGCCCTGAATAAACTCTATTCTATTCTATACCATTGTGTGGCTGGTCCCTCAGGGGGAAGGGATGCTTCAGCATGGGGCCGCTGAGGCAGCCCTTTTCCCCACACCTCCATAGAACATATCCCTTCTCTCTTTATCTTTTTATAAACACGTCACTCACTACCTAGCAACTGAGGCAGGATCTCTCACATCAACCTGAAGCATGTTGGCTAGTCTCTTCTGGGGATCTTATCTCTGCTTTTCCAGAAATTTCAGGTGGGAGGCTGCACCCACCTGCTCATTCCTCCCTTCCCCATAGTCTGTCTGCCTCTCTCTCTCTCTCTCTCTCTCTCTCTCTCTCTCTCTCTCTCTCTCTGTGTGTGTGTGTGTGTGTATGTGTGTGTGTGTGTGTGTGTGTATGAGAGCAATCACAGATACTGTTCCCCAGGTGCTCTTCATCTTTCAGTTTTTATCTACAGGATCTCTCACTGGCTCAGAACTTCCCAGCCTGCTAGCCAGCAAGCCCCAATGATCTGTGTATCTCCATCTCCCCAGTGATGTTCTATGTGGGTTCTGGGTGCTACTTGGGTCCCGTATGCCTGCAGGGCAAGTACTTCACCTATTGAACAATCCCTGTAGCCCCACATCATTGTCTATCAAAAAGTAGTGGAACACTGGAGTACTGGCTGGTTTTGTGTGTCAACTTGACACAAGCTGGAGTTATCACAGAGAAAGGAGCCTCTCTTGAGGAAATGCCTCTGAGATCCATCTGTAAGGCATTTTCTCAATGAGTGATGGAGGGTGGGGGAGAGCCCACTGTGGGTGGTGCTATCCCTGGGCTGGTGGTCCTGTGTTCTATAAGAAAGCAAGGTGAGCAAGCCAGTAAGCAGCATTTCTCCATGGCCTCTGCATCAGCTCCTGCCTCCAGGTTCCTGCCCTGTGTGAGTTCCAGTCCTGACTTCCTTTGGCGATGAACAGCAACGTGGAAGTGTAAGCTGAGTAAACCCCTTCCTCCCCAACTTGCTTCTTGGTCATGATGCTTTGTGCAGGAATCCAAACACTGACTAAGACAATTGGTGAATGTGAACAGGCTCAGAAGTCAAAGAACCTCAAGATAGTTGTGTCCAACATCCATCCATGGCTATTCCCCAGCAGCCGTTCCATGCAGGACTCTGCCCAATCCATCTAGCCTTTTGCTGATTCAATGTTGACAGCTTATGGTCTATTTTTTGAGGTAGAAGACACTTTGGAGGCTACTGAGGTCAGAAAACCCTCCTGTGACGCTGTTGTGACCTTGACATCACTGCCTAATTCTAGGTATATCATTTCCTATACTGTCTCTGTTCCTAAGTTAACAAGAACAGACTGGTGATTAAATGTCGGTAGCATGCACACGGCTCAGCTTATTCAAGATGCTGGGCTTGTATTCAATGACTAATCTTAGTTGAGCATAGCATCTGCTCAAACAACAACCGTACGGCTTAGCAATGTGACCAAACTTTCCATCTATTCCAAAGCTGCTTCTCTTCGAAGACCTTTTGAGGCACGTAAGACCACCATAACCTGACAGAGGGGGAAACTGAGGTAAAGGACAACACCTCCAGGTGCCACGCAGGAGGCTGCTCAGAGGCTTAGGGACCCGAGGCCCGCCTGCAAACCGAGCTCCAGCCGCTGCCCGAGCCCGGAATACACAGCGCAGGTGGGCACTCAACGGCTTGCATCACAGCCTGGCACACTGGAAGCATGTGTGGCTGAGGAAGCGCGCCAGGTAAGTACATGCGTGTGGAAGAAGCCGGGACACAGACCGGAAGTATGTGCGGCACAGGGAGCGCGCGGGGAGCGGGACCGGAAACGTGCGCTGCTGCAGGAGCGCGCCCGCCGGCATGCCCGCTGCGGTGCTGGGGGACAGACCGGAAGTGTGCAAGGCCGAGGGGGCTCCGCGGCGGACTCAGCTCCGGGCTGAGGCTGCGTGAAGTCTCCGCTTCCGGCGGCGGTCTACTGCGACCAGGGTGGTCTGCGCTGTCACCTAAGGTCTCTGTCTGCGTTCCGCAGCGTCCAGCGACGGCTTTTCTCTGAGCTGGCCCGGCGGCTTCGGTCCCTGCGGGTGCAAGCCGAGGAGGCCCCGCGGTCATGAGCGGCAAAGAAGGTGCGGGGCCCGCGCGTGGTGGGGAGGGAGGGGCTGGCTGGGCCTGGCGCTCCGGCTCTGCTGTCACCGTGCCACAGCACGCCCCCGGGAGGGCCCTGCGGACCGACCCGGAGCACAGCCGGATTTCTGGGGTCTCGAGCCGCGTTATGTGCGATCCCCGCACTAGTGCACATGTTTGGGAACCTGTGTGTGGCTTCTGAGGTCGGGCCCTGCTGGGTACCGGGGGACGAAGGGGATAGCCTGGGCTGTTACACTGCAAGGGCACCATCCAGCTCTTCTTTTTTTTTTTTTACCCAAGGACCAGGAGGGTTCAGGAAGAGGAAGCATGATAACTTCCCACATAACCAAAGGAGAGAAGGGAAGGATGCCAGTTTGTCTTCGCCGGTGATGCTGGCCTTTAAAAGTAAGTTTCCATAAGGAGAATTAAAGCCATAACAATCGTGTTGCCATAGTGTTCGGGGGTGGGGTGGAGTAGGGGCTATTTAGTCCCTGCTGATGTAAAGCTTAGTTTTCCTGAATGGTTTGTGTTGGTGCTAGGCCTGGCCTGAGAAAAATCTGTATTCCAAAGATGAGATATGAGGATCAACTTGACCAAGTTAATAGACCAAGAATACCGGTATACATGTGTGCACAAGATTTGCTAATAGTTCCTGTTTTGTGCAAAGTGCTACCTCAGAATAGGTTTTACCTGGTTGCCAGACTAGTAACCAACCTAACACACATTAAATATAGATATATATGCTAGTAAACAGTAGGTGTGAAGATGATGTTACATACAGAACAGTTAAGACTGTGGCATATTTCCAAATTAATTACATTTAATGCTTTCTTACGTGAAACTGTTTACTGTTTACTAATGTTAATATATTCATAGGCCATCATAGTCAAGGGCTTTGGGATATAGATGTTTGCCACATCCCATTTGTTAAAAGCAAGGCAAAGTAAAAACGGCTTCTTTTTTTTTTTTTTTGGTTTTTCGAGACAGGGTTTCTCTGTGTAGCCCTGGCTGTTCTGGAACTCACTGTGTAGACCAGGCTAGCCTCGAACTCTTGAACTCAGAAATCCAAACTGCTTCATATTTAGGAAGAAAGAATTAGGTTGTATCTTGTAAAGAGAAGGGTCCCAGCTAATGTTCGGACAGTTTTAAAAGAACACAGCACATACCGTGATCTTTGCAAGCGTGAGGAAACCAGGTATAATCGAGCAGAGGGCATATTGACATGACTGAATACTGACTGAAACAAGCTGGTAGTTTCCAACAGCTTGTTGCTGGTTTCCTGTTTCTTTCTCTTCTGGGTAGACAGTTCTTTGAGCTTGGATTCGCTTCTGACGTAGGGCTTTCATTGCCATTCCGGTGCACCGTGTTCTCTTTGAAACCCAGCTCAAGTGGCTCCTTGGGCATGGTGGCTGCCTTCATTCACCTCCCATCCAGTCACTCACGAGTTGTCATCTTTCCCTTAACCCTTCTCTATGCATTTATTGTATCATTGTTATATTTTATTTAACTACTTATTATTTATACCCGTGTCTCTTTGAGGCTAGGCACTCTGTTTTATCCAACCTTGCATTTATAATATCAGACAAGCCGGGCAGTGGTGACGCACGCCTTTAATCCCAGCACTTGGGAGGCAGAGGCAGGCGGATCTCTGAGTTCGAGAGTTCGAGGCTAGCCTGGTCTACAGAGTGAGTTCCAGGACAGCCAGGGCTACACACAGAGAAACCCTGTCTCGAAAAAAAAACAAACAAACAAATAATAATATCAGACAAAATCCAGAGATCATATCATCATCACCATCATCATCAGTGTTATTGCTGAGATAGAGTAGTATTAGCCCAGACTAGTCTCTTGAGGATGACCTTGAATTCCTGATCTTCCAGTCCTCGTTCTGTTGGGGTTTGGAGGTCTATGCCGCCATGCCCTTTTTATATCCGGAAAAGCAGAAAAGAAGGTTACTCATTGTTCCCACATTGGGGAGAATTGGGGACAGAGAGATCCAGTGACCCTCCAAGCATATCTTCTAGGGAGTGTTTTGATGCAGTGCTGAACACTGAGCCCAGGGTTAGTGCATGCCTATCGAGAACTGACTGAGTTACAGCCCAGCCCCGCAGTGCCGCTGTAAGTGTTAGGGAACTAAACACTGACAGTGTCACTGTGAAGGTGACAGTGAGGGAGCTTGCTGTGTTCATTTACAGTGCCACTTTAAAACAGTTTACAGTCCCCAGGGATTCCAAAGTACTGTGGTTTTGTGTATCACGGATAGGCTAGTGTTCAGTTATTCTGTTTTGAGGATTAGTGTCCTGACCACTGCATTCTTCTTGGCTGCATCTGTGATGTGCCGTGTCCTATCTGTCTCTCAGCTGGCTTGAGTGAAGAGTGTGCGTGCTTATGGTGTCATACCATGTTCTAGCATGTGTGCTTATGGTGTC